GGGGCGTAGAGTCGCGTGGTGCAATCCGTTAAACCCTACACCTAATACTTTTCCCGCTAGAGGGCAGCAAAGTTCCAGCGACAGATTCGCCGGACCCCTAGGATTCCGCTGAAAATCCCTACATGGGGGTAACCTGGGGCGTAGAGTCGCGTGAAGCAATCCGTTAAACCCTACACCTAATACTTTTCCCGCTAGAGGGCAGCAAAGTTCCAGCGACAGATTCGCCGGACCCCTAGGATTCCGCTGAAAATCCCTACATAGGGGTAACTTGGGGCGTAGAGTCGCATGGTGCAATCCGTTAAACCCTACACCTAATACTTTTCCCGCTAGAGGGCAGCAAAGTTCCAGCGACAGATTCGCCGGACCCCTAGGAATCCGCTGAAAATCCCTACATAGGGGTAACTTGGGGTGTAGAGTCGCGTGGTGTAATCCGTTTAACCCTACACCTAATACTTTTCCCGCTAGAGGGCAGCAAAGTTCCAGCGACAGATTCGCCGGACCCCTAGGATTCCGCTGAAATAGGGGTAACTTGGTCGCCCGACCCCTGGGATTCCGATGAAAATCATTACATAGGGGTAACTTGGGGCGTAGAGTCGCGTGGTGCAATCCGTTAAACCCTACACCTAATACTTTTCCCGCTAGAGGGCAGCAAAGTTCCAGCAACAGGTCCGCCGGACCCCTAGGATTCCACTGAAAATCCCTACATGGGGGTAACCTGTGGCGTAGAGTCGCGTGGTGCAATCCGTTAAACCCTACACCTAATACTTTTCCCGCTAGAGGGCAGCAAAGTTCCAGCGACAGATTCGCCGGACCCCTAGGATTCCGCTGAAAATCCCTATATAGGGGTAACTTGGGGCGTAGAGTCGCGTGGTGCAATCCGTTAAACCCTACACCTAATACTTTTTCCGCTAGAGGGCAGCAAAGTTCCAGCGACAGATTCGCCGGACCCCTAGGATTCCGCTGAAAATCCCTACATAGGGGTAACTTGGGGCGTAGAGTCGCCCGGTGCAATCCGTTAAACCCTACACCTAATACTTTTTTCGCTAGAGGGCAGCAAAGTTCCAGCGACAGATTCGCCGGACCCCTAGGAATCCGCTGAAAATCCCTACATAGGGGTAACTTGGGGCGTAGAGTCGAGTGGTGTAATCCGTTAAACCCTACACCTAATACTTTCCCCGCTAAAGGGCAGCAAAGTTCCAGCGACAGATTCGCCGGACCCCTAGGATTTCGCTGAAATAGGGGTAACTTGGTCGCCGGACCCCTAGGATTCCGCTGAAAATCCCTATATAGAGGTAACTTGGGGCGTAGAGTCGCGTGACGCAATCCGTTAAACCCTACACCTAATACTTTTCCCGCTAGAGGGCAGCAAAGTTCCAGCGACAGATTCGCCGGACCCCTAGGATTCCGCTGAAAATCCCTACGTAGGGGTAACTTGGGGCGTAGAGTCGCGTGGTTTAATCTGTTAAACCCTACACCTAATACTTTTCCCGCTAGAGGGCAGCAAAGTTCTAGCGACAGATTCGCCGGACCCCTAGGAATCCACTGAAAATCCCTATATAGGGGTAACTTGGGACGTAGAGTCGCGTGGTGCAATCCGTTAAACCCTACACTTTATACTTTTCCCGCTAGAGGGCAGCAAAGTTCCAGCGACAGATTCGCCGGACCCCTAGGATTCCGCTGAAATAGGGGTAACTTGGTCGTCGGACCCCTATGATTCCGCTGAAAATCCCTATATAGGGGTAACTTGGGGCGTAGAGTCGCGTGGTGCAATCCGTTAAACCCTACACCTAATACTTTTCCCGCTAGAGGGCAGCAAAGTTCCAGCGACAGATTCGCCGGACCCCTAGGAATCCGCTGAAAATCCCTACATAGGGGTAACTTGGGGTGTAGAGTCGCGTGGTGTAATCCGTTTAACCCTACACCTAATACTTTTCCCGCTAGAGGGCAGCAAAGTTCCAGCGACGGATTCGCCGGACCCCTAGGAATCCGCTGAAAATCCCTACATAGGGGTAACTTGGGGCGTAGAGTCGCGTCGTGTAATCCGTTAAACCCTACACCTAATATTTTTCCCGCTAGAGGGCAGCAAAGTTCCAGCGACAGATTCGCCGGACCCCTAGGATTCCGCTGAAAATCACTACACAGGGGTAACTTGGGGCGTAGAGTCGCGTGGTGCAATCCGTTAAACCCTACACCTAATACTTTTCCCGCTAGAGGGCAGCAAAGTTCCAGCGACAGATTCGCCGGACCCCTAGGATTCCGCTGAAAATCCCTACATAGGGGTAACTTGGGGCGTAGAGTCGCGTGGTGCAATCCGTTAAACCCTACACCTAATACTTTTCCCGCTAGAGGGCAGCAAAGTTCCAGCGACAGATTCGCCGGACCCCTAGGAATCCGCTGAAAATCCCTACATAGGGGTAACTTGGGGTGTAGAGTCGCGTGGTGTAATCCGTTTAACCCTACACCTAATACTTTTCCCGCTAGAGGGCAGCAAAGTTCCAGCGACAGATTCGCCGGACCCCTAGGAATCCGCTGAAAATCCCTACATAGGGGTAACTTGGGGCGTAGAGTCGCGTAGTGTAATCCGTTAAACCCTACACCTAATACTTTTCCCGCTAGAGGGCAGCAAAGTTCCAGCGACAGATTCGCCGGACCCCTAGGAATCCGCTGAAAATCCCTACATAGGGGTAACTTGGGGCGTAGAGTCGCGTCGTGTAATCCGTTAAACCCTACACCTAATATTTTTCCCGCTAGAGGGCAGCAAAGTTCCAGCGACAGATTCGCCGGACCCCTAGGATTCCGCTGAAAATCACTACACAGGGGTAACTTGGGGCGTAGAGTCGCGTGGTGCAATCCGTTAAACCCTACACCTAATACTTTTCCCGCTAGAGGGCAGCAAAGTTCCAGCGACAGATTCGCCGGACCCCTAGGATTCCGCTGAAAATCCCTACATGGGGGTAACCTGGGGCGTAGAGTCGCGTGAAGCAATCCGTTAAACCCTACACCTAATACTTTTCCCGCTAGAGGGCAGCAAAGTTCCAGCGACAGATTCGCCGGACCCCTAGGATTCCGCTGAAAATCCCTACATAGGGGTAACTTGGGGCGTAGAGTCGCATGGTGCAATCCGTTAAACCCTACACCTAATACTTTTCCCGCTAGAGGGCAGAAAAGTTCCAGCGACAGATTCGCCGGACCCCTAGGAATCCGCTGAAAATCCCTACATAGGGGTAACTTGGGGTGTAGAGTCGCGTGGTGTAATCCGTTAAACCCTACACCTAATACTTTTCCCGCTAGAGGGCAGCAAAGTTCCAGCGACAGATTCGCCGGACCCCTAGGATTCCGCTGAAATAGGGGTAACTTGGTCGCCCGACCCCTGGGATTCCGATGAAAATCACTACATAGGGGTAACTTGGGGCGTAGAGTCGCGTGGTGCAATCCGTTAAACCCTACACCTAATACTTTTCCCGCTAGAGGGCAGCAAAGTTCCAGCGACAGATTCGCCGGACCCCTAGGATTCCGCTGAAAATCCCTACATAGGGGTAACTTGGGGCGTAGAGTCGCGTGGGGCAATCCGTTAAACCCTACACCTAATACTTTTCCCGCTAGAGGGCAGCAAAGTTCCAGCGACAGATTCGCCGGACCCCTAGGAATCCGCTGAAAATCCCTACATAGGGGTAACTTGGGGTGTAGAGTCGCGTGGTGTAATCCGTTTAACCCTACACCTAATACTTTTCCCGCTAGAGGGCAGCAAAGTTCCAGCGACAGATTCGCCGGACCCCTAGGAATCCGCTGAAAATCCCTACATAGGGGTAACTTGGGGCGTAGAGTCGCGTCGTGTAATCCGTTAAACCCTACACCTAATATTTTTCCCGCTAGAGGGCAGCAAAGTTCCAGCGACAGATTCGCCGGACCCCTAGGATTCCGCTGAAAATCACTACACAGGGGTAACTTGGGGCGTAGAGTCGCGTGGTGCAATCCGTTAAACCCTACACCTAATACTTTTCCCGCTAGAGGGCAGCAAAGTTCCAGCGACAGATTCGCCGGACCCCTAGGATTCCGCTGAAAATCCCTACATGGGGGTAACCTGGGGCGTAGAGTCGCGTGAAGCAATCCGTTAAACCCTACACCTAATACTTTTCCCGCTAGAGGGCAGCAAAGTTCCAGCGACAGATTCGCCGGACCCCTAGGATTCCGCTGAAAATCCCTACATAGGGGTAACTTGGGGCGTAGAGTCGCGTGGTGCAATCCGTTAAACCCTACACCTAATACTTTTTCCGCTAGAGGGCAGCAAAGTTCCAGCGACAGATTCGCCGGACCCCTAGGATTCCGCTGAAAATCCCTACATAGGGGTAACTTGGGGCGTAGAGTCGCCCGGTGCAATCCGTTAAACCCTACACCTAATACTTTTTTCGCTAGAGGGCAGCAAAGTTCCAGCGACAGATTCGCCGGACCCCTAGGAATCCGCTGAAAATCCCTACATAGGGGTAACTTGGGGCGTAGAGTCGAGTGGTGTAATCCGTTAAACCCTACACCTAATACTTTCCCCGCTAAAGGGCAGCAAAGTTCCAGCGACAGATTCGCCGGACCCCTAGGATTTCGCTGAAATAGGGGTAACTTGGTCGCCGGACCCCTAGGATTCCGCTGAAAATCCCTATATAGAGGTAACTTGGGGCGTAGAGTCGCGTGACGCAATCCGTTAAACCCTACACCTAATACTTTTCCCGCTAGAGGGCAGCAAAGTTCCAGCGACAGATTCGCCGGACCCCTAGGATTCCGCTGAAAATCCCTACGTAGGGGTAACTTGGGGCGTAGAGTCGCGTGGTTTAATCTGTTAAACCCTACACCTAATACTTTTCCCGCTAGAGGGCAGCAAAGTTCTAGCGACAGATTCGCCGGACCCCTAGGAATCCACTGAAAATCCCTATATAGGGGTAACTTGGGACGTAGAGTCGCGTGGTGCAATCCGTTAAACCCTACACTTGTTGTGTTTCGGTCGGTTCGAATGAAAGAGTTGTATTTAATGAGTTAAACGAGATTTATTACGAGAGCTCTTTCCTGAGTCGTTACGTTAATCACCAAGTAAACAAACGTAATGGCGTGCGTCGTCTCTGCCTATCCGCGCCAGTCTTGTCGTCCGGCGGGCCCAATCAGCTGGCGGCGGCACAGGCGCACTCAGCTACGGACCGGGGCAGGCGGCGGCGGCACGGGCGCACTCAGGCCTCGGGCACGAGCCGGGGCGGCGGCACGGGTGCGCTCGTGCGCCAGAAACACACGACAACACACCATCTCCCCCCAAGACGACTGCGGTCGTCTTCACTACGGAGAATAGGTCACACCACCCCAGCGCACGGACAAGCGATCGGGGGGCTGGCGCGCACGGCTGCTCCGGCGCAGAGGGGGCGGCCGCGGTGCGGCTGCGCCGACGGTGGCGGGCACGGACTCGCCGGGCGTTGCGCCGTCTGCGGCCGCGCGGGGCGGCTCAGCGGCGGGTGGCCCTCCAGTCTCAAGCAGTGGCCGGTAGGGACGGAGGAATCGCCGATTCCGCCAGAGGACTCTTCCGCTTCCCGTCTTCACCAGGTAGGTGCGGCGCTGCCCGACACCGACCACTACACCGGGGCGGTCCCAGCGGCCGGTGTCACTGTCTTGGATGTCCACACGGCTGCCGATGCGCATCTGGGACAGGGGACGGGCCGTCCCGTCATGGCGGCTCGTCGCCGCCTCCCGGTTCACAGCGGCCTTCAGCTCACACTCAGCAGCAGCGCGCTGCCACTCGGGCGCGAACGCACGGTGGTGGGTCGGCACACACGACCGGATCGGGTGCCCGAACAGCACCTGCGCCGGAGACCGGCCGTCCGCGCGCGGCGTGTTCCTTAGCTCCAGCAGTCCCCGGCTCAGCTGCTCGTCATCCAGCCGGCCGCCAGTGGACGCCGTGATGATGAGCTTTTTCACTGTTTTTACGGCCGCCTCGGCGTGGCCGTTTGACCTCGGGTAGTGTGGGGACGATATTTCGTGTCGCACCTCCCAGCGGCCCAGGAAGCGGCGCAGAGTTCCAGACGTGAACTGCGGTCCGCCGTCCGTGCGCAGAACTGTCGGTACTCCAGTCTGGGCGAACAGCGCGCGCAGCTCGCGGGTCAGATGCTCTGCCGATGCAGTCCGTGGGCAGATGGTCACGTACGGCCAGCCGGACAGTCGGTCTGCATACACCAGATACGTCCGGCCGGCGACATGAAAATAGTCCGCCGAGACCGACTCGAACACACGGCTCGGCTGGTCGTCTTCCCGCCACAGCGGCTCGTTGGCGTGGCTCGGCACCAGCTGCCGGCAGCGCGGGCAGGATGACACCACGTTGGTGACGTCACGGTCGATACCCGGCCAGTACACGCAGAGGCGGGCGCGGCGCTTTGTTCTCTCGATGCCCTGGTGCGACTGGTGCAGGCGGTCGAGGATGTCTCGTCGGAGGCGGGCAGGGATCACCAGCCGGGGGCCGTACACGATCAGGCCACCGTCCAGCGCCAGCATGCCCCGCACACCCCAGTACGGTCGAACGGAGGGGGGCACCTCGTGCCGGTGCTCTGGGAATCCGTGCAGAATTGTCTCTCGCAGGGACTCGTACTCGGGGTCGCGGTCGGCGGCGGCTCGGATCCTCTCCAGGCTGGGATCTACGAGCGGCGCCAGGCGCGCACCGTCCTCCATCTGCTGCTCGGCGTGCAGGGCTGCGATCACAGCCGCGTGGAGCGTGTCCTCTGCTTCCTCTGAGGCCTCGTCATCGGCGGTCGGGTCACTGGTTGGGGCGCGTGACAGCGCGTCTGGTATCTGGTGCTCGGATCCTTTCTGCCAGCTGGCAGTGAAGGAGTATGGCGTCAGCTTCTCACGCATCCTTTGCAGGCGAGGATTTTCGATCTCACTCAGCTGCTTCTGGTTCAGAATCGGTACCAGCGGCCGATGATCGACGATCAGTGTGAAGTGCGGCAGGCCGGCGAGGTAGATGTGACATTTCCGGCACGCCCACAGCACGGCGGCCAGCTCGATCTCCACCACGGCGTATCGTGACTCGGTGTCCGTGAGGAACCGGGAGCCGCAGTGCACGAGCCGCCAGTCGTCGCCGTGTCGCTGAAGCAGCGCGAAACCGAGTCCTTTGGTCCGGGCGGCGTCCGTCTGCAGCATAGTCGGCAGGCTCGGATCGAAGAACGCCATCACGGGTGGCGCGGCCAGCACTGCTTTGACTTGCAGAAAGGCCGCCTCGTGCTGAGCCGTCCAGCTCCAGAGATGGCGCGCCTTCAGTAGGTCTCGAAGCGGCTGGGCGGCGTGTGCGAGCTCCGATGACAGGCCACCGAGCTGGTTCGTCAGACCCATGAACGATCGCAGATCGGTCACGTTCTCGGGCCTCGGGAAGTCGGCGATAGCTCGAAGCTTCTCCCCATCTGATGTGTATCCGTCCGGCGTGATACGGTAGCCGCAGTAGTTCACCTCGTGCCTGGCGAACACGAATTTCTTGGGGTTCAGAGTGATACCGCGTTCGTCACAGCGCTGCACCACGGCGATGACGTGCGCCAGATGGTCCCGGTAGGTGGCGTCGTACGCCAGCAGGTCGTCCACCACCTTCACCGTGTTCGGAATATCGCCGAGGGCCGTGTCACCGCGCCGGTTGTATTCATCCCCGGCGGACACGCACCCCTGTGGCGCTCGCAGGAATTTCATACGGCCCCAGGGCGTGATGAAACACGTCAAATCTTGAGACGGTTCGGCGAGCGGTACCTGGAAGTACCCCATGGCGGCGTCCAGTGTCGTCATCCAGCGGCTGCCGGCCGGGATGTCGGCCACAGCATCGTGCGGAGGCCGTACTGGGTAGGTAGGCCGCTTTACGAACCGGTTCAGCCGGGTCAGATCGACACACAGTCGCACTCCGGACGGCCGCTTGGCGACAGCGACCATCGGGTGGCACCACTCGGTGGCGTAGTCCACTGGTGCAATGACACCACGGGCCTGCAGTTCGTCCAGCTGGGCCTTGATATCCGCTCTCCAGGCGTACGGCACTGGACGGGCGGCGGTGACGGCCGTTGGAGTGGCATCTTCACGCAGCTCGATTACCATCGATCCTCCGTCCATCTCCCGCAGCGGGCCGTCCGAGCTGAATACTCGGGGGTAGTGGGTCACGATCGCGGCTGCATGGGCGGCTATTATCTCGTCAGACGGGTCGCCGTCCTCCTCCCATGTCGGCAAGCACGTTGCCGGCGACGGCGCGGCGTTGCCGGCGGCAACCGCCACGGGCGCCACCGTCGGCGTGTCGGTTATTGTAGATGTCGCTACCTGTCGACCATCTGTTTTGTGCTGCGTCGCGTTCGGGATCTGGGCAGGGAAGTCCGCCGGCAGGATCCCCAGGGCGACCGAATCGAACCAGCTGAGCAGTGTCCCCGTCAGTCCGCTGATGACGTAGACGGTTGCGTCAGCGGAGCGGTCACCCAGCCTCAGCGCTGCGCCGAACGCTCCGAGACAGTCGAGCGGGCGCTGTCCAACGGCGGTGAAATTGGCCCGGTGGTCGGTCTGCAGTTGGGAGAGATCGATGCCGATCGACCGAGCCACGGCGTCGCCCATGACCGTTGCTTCAGCTCCTGTGTCCGGCGTGCATTTCAGCGTGCTGCTCCCGGCCTGGTGCATCAGCTGAATCTCGACTGTAGGCGCGGGACGAGTACAGACTCCGCTGATATGTATGTCCGCGATGACTCGCTGGATATCTCGCCCGTGCGGCCCTCGCCGGCCGCTGTGCGCCGGCGGGCCGCGGGCGGGGCCCGGCGGGGTGCCACCGGCTGGAGCAGCGACGGTGTGGTCCGACGGCACCGGGCGGCAGACCGCTGCAAAGTGCCCCAGTTCGCCGCACGCTCGACAGATGGCGCTGGCGGCGCGGCACGTGTCTGGGTCGGCGTGTGGCCGGCGGCCGCACGTCGGGCAGCGCTGGGCCGACCGCTGCCGGTCGGAGGTCGCGGCGGCGGCAGGGGCGGCACGTAGCCGGCTGCGACCCCGCCTGTAAGCTGACAGGCGCGCCACTGAGTAGCCCTCGCTGCCGCGCAGGTCTTCACATGTGCTCCGTGAATTTTCACTCGCGCGACAAATGTCCACTGCGCGTTTCAGCGTTAGCTCGGGCTCCTCAAGCATACGCCTCACAGCGTCTTCGTCACGCGCACCACAGACAATGCGATCACGAATCTGTGAGTCACTGCAATGCTCGCAGAGGTCACAAAATGAAGCGAGCTCCTTTATTTCGTACAGGAACTCGTCGAAGCGTTCGCCTGGCTCCTGCACGCGCCCGTAGAACTCTCTGCGGTCCACCAGCACATTTCTTTGCTTCCGCAGGTGACCCTCCATGGCGTTCATGACGGTGTCCGGGGTCGCGTCCTCAGTCAGGTCGAGCCCGAAACGGATTACTCGGTGCCAGTCTTCGTCTAGCAAGCTTAGCAGCGCGGCGCGCTGGCCTTTCACGTGTAGTTCACCGGCTCCGGTCAGCAGAAAATAGCCCTTCACCTTCTCCGTCCATACGGTGAACTCACGCAGTGAGGCTGAAGAGGTCAGGTACGGGGCCGGGGTCGCCGAAGCCGGCAGGCGGACGGCTGGGCGGGCGGTGGTGGAACGGCCGTCAGCGCCTCGCTCAGCCCCCGCCGCGTCGGTAGTCGTGTCCGTTCCCATTCCCGTGGAGAGCTCCCTGGACATCAGGCTCTCCATCATGCTCGTCAGGCGCTCCTCACGCTGGGCTGATAGCTCGGCCTGCCTCCGCAGCAGGGCCGATAGTGTCTGCACCTCACTCTCATTCTCACTCATGTCTATATACTTTAAAACTCAATCACTTAATAATCACAATACTGACCGCGCCATGTTGTGTTTCGGTCGGTTCGAATGAAAGAGTTGTATTTAATGAGTTAAACGAGATTTATTACGAGAGCTCTTTCCTGAGTCGTTACGTTAATCACCAAGTAAACAAACGTAATGGCGTGCGTCGTCTCTGCCTATCCGCGCCAGTCTTGTCGTCCGGCGGGCCCAATCAGCTGGCGGCGGCACAGGCGCACTCAGCTACGGACCGGGGCAGGCGGCGGCGGCACGGGCGCACTCAGGCCTCGGGCACGAGCCGGGGCGGCGGCACGGGTGCGCTCGTGCGCCAGAAACACACGACAACACACCAACACTTTATACTTTTCCCGCTAGAGGGCAGCAAAGTTCCAGCGACAGATTCGCCGGACCCCTAGGATTCCGCTGAAATAGGGGTAACTTGGTCGTCGGACCCCTATGATTCCGCTGAAAATCCCTATATAGGGGTAACTTGGGGCGTAGAGTCGCGTGGTGCAATCCGTTAAACCCTACACCTAATACTTTTCCCGCTAGAGGGCAGCAAAGTTCCAGCGACAGATTCGCCGGACCCCTAGGAATCCGCTGAAAATCCCTACATAGGGGTAACTTGGGGTGTAGAGTCGCGTGGTGTAATCCGTTTAACCCTACACCTAATACTTTTCCCGCTAGAGGGCAGCAAAGTTCCAGCGACGGATTCGCCGGACCCCTAGGAATCCGCTGAAAATCCCTACATAGGGGTAACTTGGGGCGTAGAGTCGCGTCGTGTAATCCGTTAAACCCTACACCTAATATTTTTCCCGCTAGAGGGCAGCAAAGTTCCAGCGACAGATTCGCCGGACCCCTAGGATTCCGCTGAAAATCACTACACAGGGGTAACTTGGGGCGTAGAGTCGCGTGGTGCAATCCGTTAAACCCTACACCTAATACTTTTCCCGCTAGAGGGCAGCAAAGTTCCAGCGACAGATTCGCCGGACCCCTAGGATTCCGCTGAAAATCCCTACATGGGGGTAACCTGGGGCGTAGAGTCGCGTGAAGCAATCCGTTAAACCCTACACCTAATACTTTTCCCGCTAGAGGGCAGCAAAGTTCCAGCGACAGATTCGCCGGACCCCTAGGATTCCGCTGAAAATCCCTACATAGAGGTAACTTGGGGCGTAGAGTCGCATGGTGCAATCCGTTAAACCCTACACCTAATACTTTTCCCGCTAGAGGGCAGCAAAGTTCCAGCGACAGATTCGCCGGACCCCTAGGAATCCGCTGAAAATCCCTACATAGGGGTAACTTGGGGTGTAGAGTCGCGTGGTGTAATCCGTTTAACCCTACACCTAATACTTTTCCCGCTAGAGGGCAGCAAAGTTCCAGCGACAGATTCGCCGGACCCCTAGGATTCCGCTGAAATAGGGGTAACTTGGTCGCCCGACCCCTGGGATTCCGATGAAAATCACTACATAGGGGTAACTTGGGGCGTAGAGTCGCGTGGTGCAATCCGTTAAACCCTAAACCTAATACTTTTCCCGCTAGAGGGCAGCAAAGTTCCAGCGACAGATTCGCCGGACCCCTAGGATTCCGCTGAAAATCCCTACATAGGGGTAACTTGGGGCGTAGAGTCGCGTGGTGCAATCCGTTAAACCCTACACCTAATACTTTTCCCGCTAGAGGGCAGCAAAGTTCCAGCGACAGATTCGCCGGACCCCTAGGAATCCGCTGAAAATCCCTACATAGGGGTAACTTGGGGTGTAGAGTCGCGTGGTGTAATCCGTTTAACCCTACACCTAATACTTTTCCCGCTAGAGGGCAGCAAAGTTCCAGCGACAGATTCGCCGGACCCCTAGGAATCCGCTGAAAATCCCTACATAGGGGTAACTTGGGGCGTAGAGTCGCGTAGTGTAATCCGTTAAACCCTACACCTAATATTTTTCCCGCTAGAGGGCAGCAAAGTTCCAGCGACAGATTCGCCGGACCCCTAGGATTCCGCTGAAAATCACTACACAGTGGTAACTTGGGGCGTAGAGTCGCGTGGTGCAATCCGTTAAACCCTACACCTAATACTTTTCCCGCTAGAGGGCAGCAAAGTTCCAGCGACAGATTCGCCGGACCCCTAGGATTTCGCTGAAATAGGGGTAACTTGGTCGCCGGACCCCTAGGATTCCGCTGAAAATCCCTATATAGAGGTAACTTGGGGCGTAGAGTCGCGTGACGCAATCCGTTAAACCCTACACCTAATACTTTTCCCGCTAGAGGGCAGCAAAGTTCCAGCGACAGATTCGCCGGACCCCTAGGATTCCGCTGAAAATCCCTACGTAGGGGTAACTTGGGGCGTAGAGTCGCGTGGTTCAATCTGTTAAACCCTACACCTAATACTTTTCCCGCTAGAGGGCAGCAAAGTTCTAGCGACAGATTCGCCGGACCCCTAGGAATCCACTGAAAATCCCTATATAGGGGTAACTTGGGACGTAGAGTCGCGTGGTGCAATCCGTTAAACCCTACACTTTATACTTTTCCCGCTAGAGGGCAGCAAAGTTCCAGCGACAGATTCGCCGGACCCCTAGGATTCCGCTGAAATAGGGGTAACTTGGTCGTCGGACCCCTATGATTCCGCTGAAAATCCCTATATAGGGGTAACTTGGGGCGTAGAGTCGCGTGGTGTAATCCGTTTAACCCTACACCTAATACTTTTCCCGCTAGAGGGCAGCAAAGTTCCAGCGACGGATTCGCCGGACCCCTAGGAATCCGCTGAAAATCCCTACATAGGGGTAACTTGGGGCGTAGAGTCGCGTCGTGTAATCCGTTAAACCCTACACCTAATATTTTTCCCGCTAGAGGGCAGCAAAGTTCCAGCGACAGATTCGCCGGACCCCTAGGATTCCGCTGAAAATCACTACACAGGGGTAACTTGGGGCGTAGAGTCGCGTGGTGCAATCCGTTAAACCCTACACCTAATACTTTTCCCGCTAGAGGGCAGCAAAGTTCCAGCGACAGATTCGCCGGACCCCTAGGATTCCGCTGAAAATCCCTACATGGGGGTAACCTGGGGCGTAGAGTCGCGTGAAGCAATCCGTTAAACCCTACACCTAATACTTTTCCCGCTAGAGGGCAGCAAAGTTCCAGCGACAGATTCGCCGGACCCCTAGGATTCCGCTGAAAATCCCTACATAGAGGTAACTTGGGGCGTAGAGTCGCATGGTGCAATCCGTTAAACCCTACACCTAATACTTTTCCCGCTAGAGGGCAGCAAAGTTCCAGCGACAGATTCGCCGGACCCCTAGGAATCCGCTGAAAATCCCTACATAGGGGTAACTTGGGGTGTAGAGTCGCGTGGTGTAATCCGTTTAACCCTACACCTAATACTTTTCCCGCTAGAGGGCAGCAAAGTTCCAGCGACAGATTCGCCGGACCCCTAGGATTCCACTGAAATAGGGGTAACTTGGTCGCCCGACCCCTGGGATTCCGATGAAAATCACTACATAGGGGTAACTTGGGGCGTAGAGTCGCGTGGTGCAATCCGTTAAACCCTAAACCTAATACTTTTCCCGCTAGAGGGCAGCAAAGTTCCAGCGACAGATTCGCCGGACCCCTAGGATTCCGCTGAAAATCCCTACATAGGGGTAACTTGGGGCGTAGAGTCGCGTGGTGCAATCCGTTAAACCCTACACCTAATACTTTTCCCGCTAGAGGGCAGCAAAGTTCCAGCGACAGATTCGCCGGACCCCTAGGAATCCGCTGAAAATCCCTACATAGGGGTAACTTGGGGTGTAGAGTCGCGTGGTGTAATCCGTTTAACCCTACACCTAATACTTTTCCCGCTAGAGGGCAGCAAAGTTCCAGCGACAGATTCGCCGGACCCCTAGGAATCCGCTGAAAATCCCTACATAGGGGTAACTTGGGGCGTAGAGTCGCGTAGTGTAATCCGTTAAACCCTACACCTAATATTTTTCCCGCTAGAGGGCAGCAAAGTTCCAGCGACAGATTCGCCGGACCCCTAGGATTCCGCTGAAAATCACTACACAGGGGTAACTTGGGGCGTAGAGTCGCGTGGTGCAATCCGTTAAACCCTACACCTAATACTTTTCCCGCTAGAGGGCAGCAAAGTTCCAGCGACAGATTCGCCGGACCCCTAGGATTCCGCTGAAAATCCCTACATGGGGGTAACCTGGGGCGTAGAGTCGCGTGAAGCAATCCGTTAAACCCTACACCTAATACTTTTCCCGCTAGAGGGCAGCAAAGTTCCAGCGACAGATTCGCCGGACCCCTAGGATTCCGCTGAAAATCCCTACATAGGGGTAACTTGGGGCGTAGAGTCGCATGGTGCAATCCGTTAAACCCTACACCTAATACTTTTCCCGCTAGAGGGCAGCAAAGTTCCAGCGACAGATTCGCCGGACCCCTAGGAATCCGCTGAAAATCCCTACATAGGGGTAACTTGGGGTGTAGAGTCGCGTGGTGTAATCCGTTTAACCCTACACCTAATACTTTTCCCGCTAGAGGGCAGCAAAGTTCCAGCGACAGATTCGCCGGACCCCTAGGATTCCGCTGAAATAGGGGTAACTTGGTCGCCCGACCCCTGGGATTCCGATGAAAATCACTACATAGGGGTAACTTGGGGCGTAGAGTCGCGTGGTGCAATCCGTTAAACCCTACACCTAATACTTTTCCCGCTAGAGGGCAGCAAAGTTCCAGCAACAGGTCCGCCGGACCCCTAGGATTCCACTGAAAATCCCTACATGGGGGTAACCTGTGGCGTAGAGTCGCGTGGTGCAATCCGTTAAACCCTACACCTAATACTTTTCCCGCTAGAGGGCAGCAAAGTTCCAGCGACAGATTCGCCGGACCCCTAGGATTCCGCTGAAAATCCCTATATAGGGGTAACTTGGGGCGTAGAGTCGCGTGGTGCAATCCGTTAAACCCTACACCTAATACTTTTTCCGCTAGAGGGCAGCAAAGTTCCAGCGACAGATTCGCCGGACCCCTAGGATTCCGCTGAAAATCCCTACATAGGGGTAACTTGGGGCGTAGAGTCGCCCGGTGCAATCCGTTAAACCCTACACCTAATACTTTTTTCGCTAGAGGGCAGCAAAGTTCCAGCGACAGATTCGCCGGACCCCTAGGAATCCGCTGAAAATCCCTACATAGGGGTAACTTGGGGCGTAGAGTCGAGTGGTGTAATCCGTTAAACCCTACACCTAATACTTTCCCCGCTAAAGGGCAGCAAAGTTCCAGCGACAGATTCGCCGGACCCCTAGGATTTCGCTGAAATAGGGGTAACTTGGTCGCCGGACCCCTAGGATTCCGCTGAAAATCCCTAT